ACATTCACAAACACATATGCATAGACACACACATACCCAGACACACATACACACACACACATGCACAGACATATGCACATACCCAGACACACACACACTCAGACATTCACAAACATATGCATAGACACACACATACCCAGACACACATACACACACACACACACACACACACACTAAGACACACACTAAGACACACAGAGACACCAACATGTATACACAAATAAATGACCAGAAGACTACTTAGGTGGTGTGTTCCTGGCTGCCTTCATTACCCATCACTAGTAGATGAGCTGGTGAAGAAAGGAGGGGCCAGCAACTTTGACGGTTGACGGACGATGGCTGAAGACCCACAGCAGTAGTGGGAAGGCAGAAACAGCAGGAGCTTGAGACGACAACCACACTCACAACACTGATGATGACGGCGGGAGCCAAAGCAAAAGAACAAGGCTGCTGCCACCTCAGGTGGCAACTGTGACAGCGGTCATATAAACAAGAAGCAGCAAGAAGGTTCTGGTAGATGGCCAGGGCAGAAGGAAAGAGATGGGACAGTAGAGAGCTTGGGCTGAAGACAGAAAGTTGCAGCCAGAGATGAGAAACTGAGGATGCTGGGTGTGAGAAGAGTTCTGAGAATGGGCAGGCTTCAAAGGACAAGGGTCTCGGGCACCCAGATCTGGACCTGAAACACTCACCACTATCAACAGATGGGGAATCCCACCTTTCTGGACCTACACAGAGCTGTCACATGTCATTAATAGTCCCAGGAGCTGAGGCCAGTATGAGAGCTATAACACTGGATGGTGCCCTTTGCTCCTGGGCCCCTTTGTGTTGCAGCCACTCACGGCATCTGAGAAATGCACAAGTTGCTCAAGGAGCAGCTCCAGAAAAGTTCCTTGCTACCCACGATTTCTCTCCATACAAAACAAAAGAACCCCCAGCTGGGTGACTGGGGACATTACCAGACCCAGGGGTAACCTGGACAGCACCTGACCTCAAAGAAGCTTCTTGGTTACTCAGGAGTCAGGCAAGGAGATTGGCACTACAGAACTAAAGGAGCCAAAGGCCATGGTTCACACTAACGTAGTCGATCAGAGTTGTATTGTGTTCTGCAATTGCACTTTTAAAACATAAAATAAATTGGCACTGTGTATGAATAGCAATCACGGCTGAAAAGCCCACCATTTGTGGAGAGGCCCCAAAGGTTCTTTGTTTCGTCTGCTAGCGATGACATGGGTAATTTGATATTTTTAGTGTCCTATTAACCTTGCATTGCAGGTACGAAACACATCTAACTACAATGTTTTTTTTTTAAAGAAATAATTATTCTGTTTTGAATAGAGTGTGTATCTATGTGGAGGAATGTGCATGTATGTGGGTCCTCAGAGTCCAGGAGAGAGTGTGAAATCGCTTGGAGCTGGTTGTATGCTGCCAAACGTGGGAGCTAGGAGTTGAACTCAGGTCCTCGGGAGCAGTACAGGCTCAGAGCCACTGAGTCAGCTCTCCAGCCCCCTACATTGTTTTCCACATTCTACATACTATGACTTCAGCTGTGCTCTGATTTTATGGAATATTTTCTGTCCACGCCTGCAGTGAACATTGTCCTGAAGTATATTAATACTACCAATGTCCTGGTCCGGCTTTGTATTCGGGTTGTTCTGGCCCCTTTAAAAAGCAACACCAGTCTTTTCAATTTAGACATTGACTTTGAACTATGAAAATCTCAGTA